GCACCCCGTGACACCCTCTGGGGACCCCCCAGGGGTCGGGGATGCAGGGACATGGGATGGGGGGGTGCAGTGGGGTGTCCCCCAGGTCGAGCCATGGGCTCCTGTGGGATGCTCTGGGCAGGGAGCAGGAGGGAGCTTCGCCCCGGGGGGCGTTTTCGTCCATCTTCCAGTTTGCCCCATGTCCCCCTGACATTGGGGACAGCTCTGGCCTGGCTGAAGCATCAGATTTTTAAATTCTAGAAAAATCCCCGGCAAAGAACAAAAATACAAATACTGGGGGGTCAGCAGGCCATAGACAGGAGGACACCGCTCTCCAGCACTAAATTTAGGTAGGCGCCGAGAGCCGGCGTGGCTCCTCTGTCCCCAGCCAAGACTGTCGTCCCCATCGGCAGCCGCGTGTCCCCCACAGCACCCAGCCACTGTCAGCCCCTGCAGGGAGAGGGGACCTGGGGGAGCCAGGCCAGATCCTGCTGCCACCAGCCCTGTGAGCCAGGGATCACCTGTGTGGCACCCCAGGACAGCCGGCTGGGCATGCCCGGAGTCAGGATCAGGGATGCCACGGCAAGGGCATGGTGGTGGCTGTGTCTGGGGGGCTTGGGAGCGCAGCTTTTTCGGGCATCGTGTCCCCAGGTGATTTTGGGGTGTGCTCAACCTTGTGTCCCCCATGTGTATGGGATCCTTTGGGAAGTGGTGGGGTGAAGTCTCCGGGCTGGGAGCTGATGCCGGTTGGGTTGGAGGCTGAGCTGGGGCAACATCCCAAGCACCCTGAGCATCCCATCCCATCCTGAGTGTCCCGAGCATCCCATCCCATCCCATCCCATCCCATCCCATCCTGAGTGTCCCGAACAACCCATCCCGTCCCATCCCATCCCATCCCATCCCATCCCATCCCGAGTGTCCCAAGCATCCCATCCCATCCTGAGTATCCCGAGCATCTCATCCCATCCCATCCCATCCCAAATGTCCTGAGCATCCCATCCCATCCCAACCACCGCGAGCATCCTGAGCATCCCAAGCCCGGCCACCAGTGGCGGGGGGGTTGGAGGGTCTCCAGCCCCACGATGCCGCCCTGGCACCTCTCTTGCCGAGAAGGAGCCCGTGGGCGCGGGGTGAGCACGTGGTGTGTTGAGTGTGCAGTTTTGGTTACTGAGAAATCCCTTTCTCGGTACCGGCCGCCATCGAGCAGGGCATCTTGTGGCGAGGTGCGGCAGTTCGGGGGGGGCGGGGGCACCGTGCCTGCGGTAGGCACTTCTCCGAAGCCAGACTGGTTTTTCGGGTGCCATATCTCTCTGCTGCATCATTTCCTTCTCCCTTTGCCCTCCCTGTCTGCCCTCTCCCCCGGGGAGGGACGCAGGGGGCTTCGCCGAACTCCTTTTTCCTGGAATTGCCTGCTTTTCTAGGAAAGCGGGAGGCTGATCCCGACACCGTGGTCGGGATGCGTGCCGATAACGCCCACCACTTCAGCGAGCTCAAGGCGGGGTGGGGGGGGACACACGCCGGGCATCACAACCCACGTGGGGGACAACAGCCGGCGTGGGGCAACCCCCTTTGCTTTGGCCCCACGGGGGTTTGCCCTGG